ATCTTACAACAATTTGTAATATAAAGACATATCCGCAGCATATATACTTTCTTAAACAAGTAATTGTAAGTCCATTGTACTTTTTTATCTTAAGATGGATGAATAAAGCTATTATTATTATTATTATTAAACACTGAAGTTGATCCTGTTTTTGACGTCGTATATCGACGTCATAAACACCAAAGATGATCGTCTATATAACGGCCAATATCGGCGAATTTAAAAAAAAAACTCATTTTTTTCCAACCAAAGTTACCCAGCAAAGTTGAATGGGTTTACGACGTCGAATATCGACGTCATAAACACCAAAGTTAATCATAGTTATGACGTCGAATATCGACGTCATAAACACCAAAGTTGATCGTGTGTATGACGTCGAATATCGACGTCATAAATACCAAAGTTATTCGTGTTTATGACATTCGAATATCGACGAATTTAAAAAAAAAAAGATTTTTTTTCCAACCAAATTTCCCTCAAAAGTTGGATAGGTTTATATCGTCGAATATCGACGTAATAAACACCAAAGTTAATCGTGTTTATGACGTTGAATATCGACGTCATAAACACCAAAGTTGATCGTGTTTATGACATCGAATATCGACGTCATAAACACCTAAGTTAATTGTGTTTATGACGTCGATTATCGACATCATAAACACCAAAGTTAATAGTGTTTATGACGTCGAATATCGACGTCATAAACACCTAATTTGATCGTGTTTATGATGTCGAATATCGACGTCATATATACCAAAGTTAATCGTGTTTATGACGTCGAATATCGACGAATTTTATAAAAACAATTTGTCTTTTTCCAACCAAAGTTTCCCACCAAAGTTGAATGGGTTTATGAGGTCGAATATCGACGTCATAAACCCCAAAGTTAATCGTGTTTATAACGCCGAATATCGTTGTCATACACACCTAAGTTGATCGTGTTTATGACGCCGAATATCGACGTCATTAAAACCAAATTTATTCGTTTTTATGACGTCGAATATCGACGTTATCAACACCAAAGTTGATCGTGTTTATGACGTCGAATATCGACGTCATGAACACCAAAGTTGATCGTGTTTATCTTACGTTCCTCGTAAGCTACTACTGCAATACAGTAATCGCAGCAGTCAACCAACAAAGGAGCAAAAAAACGGATATAATTCCTCCCTAAAAGCCTTTACCGTAGTGAACAGTGTGTTTTAGTGCTCCGCTTATATTTATTATAAAAGTCTACTGAAAGTCTACAGATAATTATTTATTGTGAAGCTAGGACAAATGGATCCGAAGCAA